GGTGAGGGTAGGGGGTGTATGAATTTTTATTTTTATTTATCTTTTTTAAAAAAGAAATTGGGTAGTGGGTGGAAGTTGTGTGGGTAGGGTGAGCGGGGGGGGGGGGGGGGGGGAAAAAATTGAAATTTTTCTGTTTGATTTTTAAAAAAAAAATTAGGGGTGGGTAAGTCGTAGAACTCTCAATATGGGTTAGCCCACTCCATTTGGACTAACTCATTCGAGCTTTGAAATTTGGTGGGTCAAGTCAGGCTAATTCATTTTATTATGGATTCACTTTTTTCAAAAGTATATTTTTTTAAATCAAAATAAAATTTAAAAACATTATCATAAATATGGACAAGACACTACTATATGGAGTTAGTATTAATCAAATTCACATTCAACTAATTTACTACGTATTTCACTTGACATTAGCCTTTCTATCTGATTTTAACGGATATGGTATAAATGATGTGTCTTTCTTAATTCTTGTAATGTACAAAATGATTCATAATGTTTTTGTCATCGGTAATGGTCCAGTACTGATATAATGGTTAGATATTAACTATATATATTGGTATTCAGAAATTTGATCCGTTTTCATTGAGCATCGATGATGATAAACTTCAAGGACGTGGAACTACTGACTGTTTAGGTCATGTGGCTCTTGTTACCGAGCTTATGAAGAGGTTGGGAGAGACAAAGCCAAAATTGAAATCGACAGTGATTGCTATTTTCATAGCGAGTGAAGAGAACTCATCTATCCCTGGAATTGGTGTGGATGCATTATATAGGGATGGATGGTTTGATAATTTAAAGCAAGGCCCTTTGTAAGTAACTATAAAATTTCATTGCAGATATATAGTGAATTTATTTAAAGTGTTTATTCGTCTATATAGATTCTGGATTGACGCAGCGGATAAACAACCATGCATTGGTACTGGTGGAACTATACCGTGGAAACTTGAGGTAATCGGAAAGGGTTTCCACAGTGGTCTCCCCAACAAGGTACTCTTTTTCTTTTCATATACTAATATAATTACTTTTCATATCATATGCTGATTTATTTATGAATAAGTCGAAAGCCAAGTCAATCCAAACGTTTACATAGTATGTCTACTAGCAATTATATTGTAGAAACCTTTAAATACTCTAGTGTGATTGTAATTAACTTTGTATGACATTTATTAATTGCAAATGGTTAGGCTATCAATGCTTTGGAACTTGCTATGGATGCACTGAAAGAAATTCAGTCCCGCTTCTATAGAGATTTCCCTCCCCATCCAAAAGAACAAGTCTATAAATTTGAGACACCATCCACCATGAAACCAACTCAGTGGTTTTGTAAGTTGTCAAAATTTTAAAACTGATTCTCCAATTATATTTTTATGTGTTAAATTTATCATCATTTGCTCTTATAGATCCGGGGGGTGGAATCAACCAAATTCCTGGTGAGTGCACTGTGTCTGGAGATGTTAGGTAAGTTTCTTCTTCTTGATCAGATCTTTCATCAAATGATAATGAGTAGTATCTAATCACAACTATATATTTTCTTGCAGGTTGACTCCATTTTACAAGTATGTATTATTAATTCCTTTTATAAAGAAGATTAAATTTCTCTTTGAAAACAGAACATGAACAACTGAATCTCTTGGACATTCTAACAATGCAATATCCTTCTTTTTCAGTGTATCAGATGTTATAAAGAAATTACAAGAATATGTTGATGACTTGAATGCCAATATCGAAAAACTTGATACTCGAGGCCCTGTTTCAAAATATGTTCTCCCAGATGAGAACCTAAGGGGAAGGTATATATATATGCTCAAGTAATTTCTTCATCTTACTATTTATTACTAATGTTGTTCCACTTTAATCCCCCACCAGAATGACTATAACTTTTGACGAAACTTCATCTGGCGTTGCTTGTGATCTCAATTCTCTGGGGTATAAAGTACTATCCAAAGCTACCGAAGAGGTAGTTGGTTATTTAGAACCATATTCTATAACCGGTAGTTTGCCATTGATAAGAGATCTCCAGGTGTGTAACTTCTTTCAAATCTACTTGTTTGATCTTCGATTTTGCAATAGCTTATATATTCATTATTTGTTGACAGGACATAGGTTATGATGTTCAATCTACTGGCTACGGTAAATTGCTTAAAATTGTTCTTACTTTGACTCATGAAGTGCATTTGCTTAAAATTGTTTTGTGTAATTCATTCATTTTGCTTGTTAATATATTATCTGATTCTTCTTCTTGTTGGTAAGTTTAGTCTAACTTTTATATATTCCAATATGAAATGCAGGCATAATGGATACATACCATGCAAATAATGAATATTGTCTACTGTCTGATATGTCCCAAGGTTACCTGGTCTTTGCAAGCATCATCGCACAGTTGGAATATATATGAGGTTTGTTTACATTACAATTCTACTGCTATTGGTCGATAGAATAACGTCTTTGATGTAATGCATAGATGACGTTTTTATTCATATTTGATGTCATAGTAGGCCTATGTTATCAGCTTAATTGATCCTTATTAGATCAGACCAGCCTCTATACCCTGGCACGATATAAGTTTATATGCCACAATCCAGTTTTCTCAGATATTGCATAACCATGTATTTAGTTATTCCTCTCCAGTACTTATCAGTTGTATGTTGTTTCACTTGGTCATTGCATTAGTTCGTGTTTATCAGTTCAGTCCTTCAGATTTATCATGTTCAATTTATTAGACTTGTGATGCTTGTCGATCTCGCATACTCAGTACAGTCAAAGAATTGACAACATACTCTTGCTCCTATATTGTTTTATATAGGTTCGAACGAATATCAACATCCAGATCGTTCCAACAGCCAACTCAATAGCATTTTGGTGAATCTTTGTCTTTTGAGGACAATCTCTTTGTTTTGTTTCAGTTGTTTATGTCTTTTGTTTAGACAACTAGAGTTAGTTGGGGGCTTGTCCCAACAACTCATCTTAATAAAGGTTTTCTATCAACTATCTCGAAATAAACTTGCCTTTTGAGTGTTAAGTTTTATATTTCAGACTTTTCAGATCAAATTGGGGTACTTGTGGTCGTGCTACGACTACCTCCAGGTTTTACTAATGTTGTCACCCATAAGTTTTGGAAGTGCGTTCATCTTGTTTAATTTAAAAGAAAGGTTTCCACAGCTAATTGAACAAGAAATCTAATGTATCTTGAGAGTGATGTTATCAGATGTTTAATTTGGACGTGACAAAATTGCAGTTTCGGTTCAATTCTCACTTCTGAAACTTTGGGGTTTTGATCTTTTGCAAATAAAGTGAAGTTTAAACTGATCATCAAATTCATCCAAGGATCAAATTCTTGTGCTTTGAGTTTAAAGAATTGGAAGAAAGAGAATAATAATGGAGTAACAAAAATATGTTAAGTTGAGCTAAAGTCAATTTTGATGTTTGACAAATATAACTATAGAAGAATCAAATTTCAATAAAGAACGGATAGTTTTGACGATCCATAAATAATTATAGGATAAAAGTAGGAAAAACTAAATATAGCATGTCAAAGCAAGTCATTTAGCGGATTAATTTTTTTTTTTTCTTTTTGTCCCGTTCTGTTTTTCATCTTATAATTTTTACATATTTGCATAATACTTCGAACCCCCTTTATAAACATCCTGATACATTCATACAAATAAATTATAATAATAAGTAATTAATGAAAGAAACTGATATATGCAGCCATACATGGATTTTCAAAAATAAGCAGACTCTTAAAAAATAATTAGAAATTCAAGGGAAAATATTAATATTGGATGTTTATGTAATTTTAATCAATATTTTTAGGTGAAAATAATTAGAAAAAAGGTTAAAAATTTAGCCCAAAAAAAGAAGATAAATACCAATGCAAATTTAAGAGAGATATCAAAATTACTTCTTTTAACTTATTTACAATCCATGTGCATCTCCTCGATCTTTTTACATAAATCCGCCCGTGTATACTTTCACGAATGAAAAGATCTCAGAAAATACACTAAATCAGAAATTCCACCAATATTCACACTACACCGAATTTTTACAAATGGTGGACATAACTTATTTAATAACTTTTTATTTATTCAATTTATCAATCGGTACAATTTTTACATAACAATAAACTTTCATCAAAAACTACATGTACTGATGTAGATAAAAATATCTTATAATTGTCTTATTAGAAACAAGTGTCAATATGTACACCACTTTTATATTGTGTGTAAGAAACTACACATATCTGATTATTTTATCCGATTAGAAATAAGGGGTCATTTACTTACACTTAATAGAGGTCTGAATCTGAATGACCTGATATATGTGAGCCATTTATATAACGATAAGGATATATTGTCACGATCTAGACCGTCGTGATTGACACCCACACAGGGGCGGCTCCGCCCCTATACAATGGGGGTTCGGACGAACCCATTGGCTTTTCCGTAGATCCTATATTTGTATTAATATGAAGTGAAATGTATATATATATTTCCTGCGAACTCATAAACAAATTGAAGCGATTGGCGCAATGGTTGCTGCGCACCCAATGAAATTCTTCAATCCCCCAGGTAGGCATTGATTTTTGGGATTAATTTCGTTTAGTATTGCACTGTTTTTGGGGATTAATTTCGTTTAGCATTGCACTGTTTTTGGGTATTAATTTCTAAACTTTTGTTTATATATATATTTTTTTAAATAATAGAAAATCGGTAAGGAAATAGTATTTGTGTCGTAATAATTATTTTTTTAAAATAACATAAAATCGGTAAAGGATTAAGTAAAAACATGCGTGGATTTATATAAAAAAAAAATTAAAAAAACAAAAAATTGGAAAATGATAAAAAAAAAAATAGTATTTGTGTCGTACTCTAAACAATATTTGACTATTGATTTCTACTCACATTCAAAAAGTTTAACGCAATTTTTTTCTCCAAAAGTCAGGATTCTTGTGAAGTTAAGCTTGATATAACATTTGGCTACTGCAACCGTGGAAAGAGCTTTTTCCTCAATGAAGTTCATTAAAAATGACTTGCGAAGCAGAATTGGTGATGACTTTTTAAATGATTGTTTAGTTTGTTGTATAGAAGAATTATTATTTGAAAGTGTACTAATGATGTGATTATTGATCATTTTCAAAATATGATACCTTGTCGAGTGCAGTTGTAATGATAATGCTTATATTCATATAATGTTTAAGTAATTCGTCGTTTTTAGTGAATTAAAATACTTGTATTTGTTCGTTAATTTGATGATTGTTACTTTAGGTTAAGATCATTGTTCTTTTTAAAAATTTAGAACCCATTGACCTGAAATCCTGGCTCCACCTCTGCACCCACACTAACCCTCCGGTGGGAGAACCATTACTACAACTCAAACTAACAATTAAGACATTTAAAGATATGAAAGCAGGTTTAAATGCTAAGGAAAAGAAATAGAGTTCCCATAAACTCCAAACAAAAGTCTAACAACCAAAACTAATATTCCGAAAGTAATGCCTAGAACCTGAAAGTCAATGTACCAAAACATCTTTAGTTCAACAAGTCTAAACAAGAAGGGGTACAACCCCAAACCAAACATAAGACTAACTAAAGTAGTAGTCTAAGTCCGAAATGGTGGACATAAACAAAAAAAGAACTCATGGCAGACCGGAAGAACTGGCTCACCCTTGAATTCGAACGATCACTGATCTTCTAAGCGAGGTCTGTCAATAGCCGCCGGAATATGCCATGTACTCAACAAAGAAAGAGCAAGTGCAGTATCAGTACACAACCACATTGTACTGGTAGGATCACGCGACTATCCCACTAAGTGCAACATACATAAGCCATTACAACATAATAATAGCATACATACACCGAACATATACAATATCAACAACATTAAGAACAACGGAGCATTTCACATTTCTCAAGTATACAGTTATGTCAAATCAATGGTCCTCTCATGGAACCCAAACCCAAACTATTAGTGTACCGCTTTGTGGTATCCGATCCTAGGTTTATGTCGGAACGTGGCAACCGATCCAAGTTAGTGTGTCGGAATGCAACAAGCCACAATCACAATCACAAGTATATTCTCATAATCATACAATCGAGTTATGATTTCATGGCAACAATTATTCAATCATCCTCACTTACGAATAATATGATCAATAATGCAACATTCGCATACATACATGAATTATAATGAAGCAAGAACAAACATAAATCACACAATCATGAAATCACAATCATCACCTACCTTGAAACAATCATAAATCCCCTAAGAAACTTGACTCTTCCCATTCTGAATTCGTTCCGCTTGTTCTTGGTCTACAAACGATTAATACAACACGAGAATCAATAAACAATATCTAATTACCCGAATTACCAACAATTTTATCAACCCTAGATCAAACTCATGATCCCAATATTCAAATTAGGGCTTTTCCCACCATATAAACAGTTCCAAAACCCTTCCCCATCGATAATTACCCACGAATTTACATTCTACGGATCGAAAAATGGAATCGGGGAGTTAAAACCTTACCTTTAGCCTCAAGAATGGTGGAAAACTGTCAAGAATCACCTGGGGTTCGTCTCCTTACTCTCAAGAATGAAAATTGCAGATTAAAGACGTTTTAGGGTTTATTTTCGACTTAGGTCGCGACTGTCCCGCAACAGCAGCCCCGCCCTAGCGGCTTGCACGAAACAAAGATCTAATTAAGAATTCCAAAAACCCCCATTTCACAACACACTTTCAATCAATGACACTTAGAAACTACTCATTCACGCTAAGATCAATTTTAGGAGTTCTACTCGCCCGAATTCAATTCCGTAAAGTCGTACGGGTTCCTTAACGTCTTAGCTATCCACTCATGTAATCCAATTCATAATTACATCACCCAATTGTTACCAGATTTCCCTAGACCTTACTGACTCTGATTTCGCCCAAATCTGGACTAGGTTGGGAAATTTTAAGATACTACAAAAAAGTTTTTCGGTTCAAAAAATTTCCCCGTTGGCTTTTCTATAACGACGGGAACAGGTCATTACATATATATGAGCTATTTTCATAACAATGGATATATCGACTCTAAATAACAAAATTAAGGGGTATATCAGATCCTTTTGCTCATGTTGTTATTCAGATCTAGCCACTTAGACCATCTCCAACCCACCTTTATTTTACTCTCCATTCTCTATATTTGGAGAGTAAAATAGAGAATGGGCACTCCAACCCACCTCCAAATCACTCTCTAAATTTGGAGAACTACTATTCACACTTTCTATTTCACTTTTTCAATATTTTATTATTATTTCCATTACTTTCTAATTAACATATTATTTTACATATAATTTTATTAATTAAATATCTAATATTCATAATTCTTTTTAAATGTAATATAATATTTTTTTAAATATATTATTTAATATATACTACTCTAATTTCAAATTAATAGTATTTTTAATTTTTTTCTAATTTTCATCAATAATAAAAATTTATTTTATTATTAATTTTCATTATTAAGAATACACAAAATTAAACTGATAAGATGAAAAATTTAATTTAAATACAAGATAACAATACAATACATAACATAAAAATTTAAATACAAGATAAAATACAATACATAACATAATAATTAATTCGCGATGAAACAAGAATCATGTCGAAAAGATGTCGAACGTGCATTCGGAGTTTTGCAATTATTGCAGGACCGTCACGTTTTTGAGAAAGGAAGTGCTACATGATATAATGACTACATGTAATATATTGCACAACGTGATAATTGAGGATGAACGTGATCTTAATGCACCAATTCAAGATGTCATAGAGGTTTCAACTCCAACCGCAGAAATGGTGGTAGATGAAAATCTCCGATTTGAACAATTTTTAGTTAGACATAAAAAAATTAAGGACAAAAATGCTCATTTTGAACTCCGTAATGCATTAATAGAGCATTTATGCGAGCAACGTAATAATTTTGAAAAT